TGTCGGTACCATTAAAAGACTAAATATTTCCCAGAAAATTCTTCCGACTTAAGGCCGGCGCACAATAGATACGTTTTCGGGTTTTTTGACAGTTAGACCATGCATTACCCAACAAACAATTCAAAGTCACAAATAAGCATACACATTGAATAAATGCTGTATAACAGTGTACAATGCTGAATAAAACAGGATGTCGAATTATGTGCTGAAAAAAGCTCATTGAGATCGATAGATGCGCTTTTATTCCGCCGTTTGCTCTGATATGATTAATTTCCTTATTAAAAGCTTTATAAACGTTGACTGTCTTCCTTATTCAGAACCAGAAGGTTGATCTAATAACAAACTGAATAAGTGTAATTTGCACATACATTGTCGCTTTTATTCGACTGTTTTCAATTGATTGAATAAAATGCTTTTTTAAACGTTTTATAAATGTTTTCTAGCTCCATTATTAGATTTCTTTGCATTGTTTTACAATATTGCTGTATAAAGGTGAATACACTCATCAAAATAGCTCTTGTACCACCCAACAAACAATTCAAAGTCACAAATAAGCATATATATTGAATAAATGCTGTATAACAGTGTACAATGCTGAATAGAAAGAGTTTTCGAATTATGTGCTGAAAAAGCTTATTGTTCCACTCTGATCTGATTAATTTACTTATTAAAAGCTGTAAAAGTGTTAAATGTCTTCCCAATTCAACGCCAGAAGTTCGATCTAATAACAAACTGAATAAGTGTAATTTGTACATACATTGACACTTTAATTCGACTGTTTTCAATTGATTTAATAACATGCTTTATTAGACGTCTAATAAATGTTCTCCAGCTCCTTTATTAGATTTCATTGCATTACTTTACAATATTGCTGAATAAAGGTGAATACAGTCAGCATAATAGCTCTTATACAACTATGCGTCCATGTTGTAATCACATGATTTGTAAATGCTTTATAAACGACGTATTAGATTCATTATTCGACAACACTGATTCAGTCTTACAACAAGGCGAAATCAGTAGAGTAGTGGTTACTGTTTCCGCTTTCCAATTAGAAGGTTGTGAGTTCAATCCCAAGCTCAACCTTTTTTTTATTTGTGTAGAACATAATTAATTTAAATAGTAATATCGATCACATGACTCCCGATAATGAATTGATCTAGTTTAAAATATAACCGAGCATCCTTTCTTTCGACTTGGAGATGTGAAGAGGCAACAGTGGTGTCATTTAAAACAACGACGAATGAATTAATCATTCCCACAGGGCCTTGAAGGAGCTAGAGTTGCGATCGGGAGTGCTGACAGGTATCTACTTTCATGCAAGCTTTTATAGATTATTGAGTTGCCCATATGATGAATTCTAGAATAGCTCAGATTACAAGGAAAGCGGCTGGTGATCGGAAGGTACATGGTTCGAATCCCATACAATGGCATGTATAAGTATTTAATAAATTTTCTATTATCTGTGTGGTGCGAGCCACGTCAGAAATATTGAAATACAATACACTTAAGAAACACACTGTCCCTGTCCCCGTCCTCTTATTTTCGGGTTAATTTTCCCACAGTTGAATAATCGTTTAATAAATGTATAATAATGTCTAATTAAACGTTACTTCACATGAGAATCAAGCGCATACAGAGCATCATTGCTTTAAAGAAGTCTAATAAACACTGAATAATCAAAAATATTATCGTATAAACACTGTTACAACTCATATAAGTCGAATAAAAGCTTCTCGACATACCTTATAAAACAACACCAGTAGTTCAATGTTGAGGTTGAATAAATTCTCCAGATTTGTGTGAACAAAGCCTGAACAGAAGTTATTATTAAAAATAGTACAAGTACTATTAAGCATGCAGTTGAATAAAATGGCCAAGAAGTCGTTTCTTCAATAGACGATTGTTTGTTGGGTATCTGTCAAAAAACCCGAAAACGTATCTATTGTGCGCCAGCCTTTACATGGAAAGTACATCCTTCGATTTTAGTCCAAAAGTTTGAAAAAATTTAAAATGAATTAAAATAGTGATTTTTTAATAATTTGATACCGATAATCAAGAAAACAATCTGGCAACGCTGCTTGTGGGGGAGGGCAGGGGGGCTTGGGGGGTTTAGGCATTTTATACTGTCGTGGGTATCCAACATCTAAGCGTACAACGAAGGATCAGAGCAGGATCTTCTGCGATAGTTGAGGTACATTCACAATTTTATTATGCAGAATGGACAATAAAGAAGAAAACAAGCTTAGGGTGGCCAGATTTGAATCCCGGTCTTGCCGAGTATCTTAGGGACGAAAATTTTCCCACTTTCTCCTGTATTTTTTCTCGGATATTCTTGTCAGTCATTAGTCCCAATTGGTATGGACTTTGATGGCATGACCACAGGACTTTATAGGGATTTCCATAGAATGCTATTACACACTTAAACATTTTCGCCGAGATTCCAACAGCCGAGTTATTCTGCAATTTATTTTGCTGAGATTCAGTAAAGCAATTGCCGAGACTCAGCTAACAAATAACATTTTGCTGAGATATCAGCTAACAAACAGATATTTTGCAGAGATATCAGCAAAAGTAAATGCCAAGGTAATCGGCTGTTGGAGTTTTTACCGAGGTAGATTAAGTTTGAATCTTGAGCTTGAATCACGAATCGCCCACGTCTGTGTGGATCTGGATTGGGTGGAAACTTCTCGAGTTAAATAAAGACCTACAGGCGCCGGATAAAGCGCTTGCGCTGAAGTCTGCGTTGACCGAAAATCCTTTTTTCGAAGCATGACAGATCTTCAAGCGGAAAGGTTTGATAGTTTTCGTCGGTGGTACATTGTGGAAGGTACCACAACTGCATCGTAGGTTGGTAGGCTTAGTGGTGTGCAATTAGGAGGTGGTAGAAGGCATCATAATCAGCAATGCGATAGGCTTGGTTTATATATTTGAGGACACACACTTCTGAGTCGATCAGATGATTCAAAACTATTACTCGTTCGAGTTCTGGGTTTACTTTAGTCGGGGAGGATTTAATAGACAGAAATTTCATTCATCATCAATTATGTACACCTACAAGGAATCAACAATATTCAGAAGGACATCGAGCCAGAATCTTGTGTACGGGTTGAATTTGCTTGAGCACCATATTGGTTTGATGGTTTCCAGTTCCTCTTCCACCTCTTGACCCGCTAACGCTCTAATGAGAATGAAGGTGAATGCTTGCTATCCATCCATCAGAGAAATTGAGAATGTAAACACGATCGCAAAAGTCATAACTTTCAGGGTTGCCATGGAATATTGAAACCTTTTTTTCCTTGATTTGTTTTCCGTGCTGAGCACCAATGCTACCGATGCCAGGGAGGCAGCTCCCACACCCGGACCCTACCTATCGACCCATCAACTCATGAACCGGGGATCAACGGATTTACTTCCCTTCCGAAGGAAGGCGTGATCAGAGATGTTATGCCTCAGAACATCCCGGCTGCGCCGACTGGGATTGAAACCAGGCCTGCTGGGGTGAGAGGTAATCACGCTTACCACTTCACCACCGGCGCTGCTCATATTGACACCTTGATAGGCATACTTTGATTGACCTTAACAGGCACGTTCGGCACAACTCAATCACTCGGCACGAATTAATGTGTGCAGAGTTGAATACCCCTAGCATATTAGCTTATTGCGTGCTCTCAACTGAGTGTTCTAGATGCACTTCCACAGTTATTAATTGAGAGCTTTCGATGTCTGTACCATTTTTGCATTCGTACAATTGTGTGGCAAGTATAATCATGCTCTAAATTTCTCCAACCCGAAAAATTCTTAGACCGGACCCTGATTCGAACCCAGCCACCTCCAGCATAGTCTTGCTTTGTAGCGTTGTAATCATAATTTTGCTCTAAAGTGTGCGATCAAAGGGCCATTAGTTTCTAACTTAACATAATGTTTTTGTAATTTTTCATTAACGTACAAGTTTTTCTTAGAATTATGAATTCTTTCTTTTGTCGAATAGAAGTGATATGAGCGTCCGTGATATTTCAAACATGTTAAAAATTTGCCTTTATCTAATAAATTCACGTTTTGAAGCAGCAGCTTTGGTAAAAAAATCAATCATTCATCGGTTAGGAAAAATGTGGCCTTAAAAAACGGTGTTTTTTTTTATTTCTCTTCATTGTACACACACACATTTTCCTTTTAATCTTTTCATACTAAAACCACCGCCTCCCTTAGCTCAGTCGGTAAAGGCGCAGCTACAAAGCAAGACCATGCTGGAGGTGGCTGGGTTCAATTCCCGGTCCGGTCTAGGAATTTTTCGGGTTGGAAAATTTCTCGACTTCCCTGGGCATTAGAAGTATGATTGGACTTGCCACACAATTATACCAATGCAAAAATGGTACAGGCATCGAAAGCTCTTAATTAATAACTGTGGAAGTGCATCTAGAACACTTAGTTGAGAGCACGCAATAAGCTAATATGCGATATGCAATAAGCTTGAAATGCGAAGAGGAAGAAGTAGAATACTACAAGCAAACAGAAATAACGCATTGAATATTTTTCACTAAGTCCCAGATTTATTCAAATTTTGCCAAACAAATACTGTAAAGCTTGATTTATTGATTTATAGGCGGAGAAATCCATTTTATCGGTTTCATCCACTAAAATCGAGGTTAGATCTCTAAAAACCAATAATAATAGATGTTTAAAAACTAAATCAGTTTTCAAAATAAAACTCAGTATGTAAAATGCTGTTAAATGGGATATTCCACGAAACACTATTCCGCAAACTGTCGTACAATGCTCAACAGTAAAAAAAAAAAAAAAAAATTCGGGAAGCTTTGCAAGTTTAGTTCACCTCTATTTCGATCAAAACGGGATTTCAATACGGTTTGTATAGAAAATGGATTTCGATCGAAATAGGGAATAGGGGTGGTTATCTGTGCATCACTCATTTTTGTGTGTTACAATAAATAAACCATATTTCCATAGGGCAACAAAGTGGGGCGGAACAAATCTACACCAGCTAAAATTGATACAATTCATGGCTTTATTTTTCAAATTGTGTTTACATTTCTCAGATTCGTGTGGATACATGGAATAGTTTCATAAACCTAACACAAAATAAATTTACGCTGGCAGACCGCAGCGTGGTTGTTTTCCAGTGTGTTCTTAAATAAAATGCGATGCGTTGTCCACGTGTTACACAATCGGAAATGAAGCAGCCTATTCCTCTGCATCGGCAAATTTATCCTCGTCTGCAATTAGAATCACGATTATCTTCACCATAATCAACCGTTAGTTGCCATGCATCAGTAAAAGAAAAACTACATCAACATTGGATCTTACCGTCTAGCTGTAAGTTTCGCATGTCGTCCACTTCCCCCAGTTCGTCCTCTTCCGCTTCCATGTAGTCTTCGTCTTCACTCACCGCGCCGGGATCCGGATTCAAACTCTGGCATTCCCGCATCGCACTGTAAATTTCATCGACGATTTGCGGTGTCGCTGGCTGCAGCCACATCTCCGTCATCTCATTCTCGGACCCGTCCGATTCGTGGCCTTCATCGTGTTCGTCTTCCTCGTCCTCTCCCTCGCCTATACCATTGCCATTGTTTTGAGCTCGCCCCTCGTAGAATCCCGGCCATATGAGATTGATATCCAGCATAAGGTAGATACACTTTTCCGGATTGGATGTGACTGCCTGAACACCAACACGGGGCCATGGGATAGAAATGCTACTGTCACGCTCTTCGCAACTCCATACTAATGAACTGAAAGACATACATTTTCCTTATTCGTAATGAATTCCGTGAATGCTTTTTTTCTATTTAACTGACCTTTCCGTGAGATGTAGGGCTCCAGCGGGAGCGATGATTCTGTCTCCGATTTTAACCTTGACATCGTTAGTCGAGTAAACAATCCCGTCGACCGGCGAGTAAGCTTCACCGATTGTAACCATGATTGGATGAACCTGTTGAACAATAGAAAAAATATAGTTGAAATAGTTCTAGGAATAAATATGCCAGCCAAATATTACCTAGAAAATAATTCAAATTGTAAATTTGATGTTTTTTCCACTATTTTAACCCAAGCTCTTCACTCGTTGTTTTGTTTTTGACAACGCTGCTGAAAGACGATAAAATTATAAACACTGCTGTCAAAAAATGAATGGATTTTGACGCAAAGTTAACAAACTGTGCTCTTGAGTTAAGCTTCGGAATGTTGTTGAAATATTTCAGTATTTGAATACTGTAAAACAAAACTACCCAAAGTTTGAGAATTTCGAACCTAAATTCAGACTATCGAATCCCAACCTGCACACATACTTTTTTTTTCCGCTGAACTCGATATTTTGTTTGACGAGAGAACAGTTGAACGCTCGGCGATTGTTTCGGTAATCAAAATAGATGACGAGGACTCGGTAATCAAGGCATTCATTGGCAAATCCGAAACGATCGCTATATTTTGACGACAACTCGGGCGTTCGATAGCTGAATAGATCAGTAATTTTTTGACCGAAGTTATATACACAGCAAAAAAAGTTGTTGAATATTACATCGAAACTGCTGCAACCAGGTCAATCCATCGGTTGTGTAATATCACATTGTACGATGTACATCGATTTTGCGAACAAAATTAGATCCATTGATGTAATATTGTATCTGCTCTTTGCTATTACAACATTATTTCATACATCAGCTTGAATTACGTTGAACGAAATTACATTTTTTTTTGCTGTGTATGGAATGGTTTTGTTTTGATAGAAAATAATAGACACCCATTTCTTTAATATACACACTTAGATTGTTTTGCCGAGATGGGCACCACCGAGCAGCTCGGCATTTTATTTTATTCAGCAAAAAATATGATTGTTAGCTGAGATCTTGGCAAAATTCCCGTTTGTTAGCTGAATCTCGGCAAGTTTTTCACTGAGATCCAGCAAAATAAAATGCCGAGCTGCTCGGTGGTGCCCATCTCGGTGAAACAATCTAAGTGTGTACATTAACATTATGAACTGGTTTCCCTAATAAAAATTATAATAAACGAACGATAACCCAAATTGTTGAACTATTCCACAAATGGTTTGGATGATACCCCGAACACGTCGTTAAGAAAATTAACTATAACATTTTGATTAGGGTTGAAGGTATTGCGAAAGAAAATGTATTGCGTAAAAGAAAATCAATTTTATTTATCACCTTGCAAAATACATTGAAAAAATGTTATAAAAATACAAGCGAATAGCATGTTCTAACCCTGTAGGATTACCGTTCTATTATTCTCTGATATGTACATAATTTTAGGCAGTCACGCTAACTTCTGTTCAAAATGGGTATTTTTTACCCATTAATGGGGACTTTCATGTTGGCGTGTGTAGAAATATTTCATTTAAACAAATTATTTGACAACTGCAAAGCGCGCGAAATTCAACAGAACTTCAAAAATTGTTGAAAGATCGACACCAGAAGATATTTTGAAGAATCCAAAAACAACACTTTTTATTTAAAAGAAAGTAGTCATTTAGGTAATAATCTAAATAAAATAACAATGGCTAGTTCGGAAAATAAACTGCTAATTCAAATGATCCATAAGCTGGGTCTTTCGCAACACGATCAACTTTTACCGTAAGTATTAGCCGGTGAACCTGACTACAAAAGTTTACTAAACATGTTGAATTTAATCGCCTCAGGAAATCGACAGAATTATTTCGGTTGTTGCAGTTAAAATGCACCGGAGGAGCAACTAATCTGGGCGATTATGCTAAGGCAACTATCTGCATAAATTTAGCCACTACCCTTTTGAGTCTTCCGTTTGATAACGAAATCGCTCTTAAACTTTGTGCTATGAACAAATCCACCTATGCAAATGCTAAGAGAACATCGGAGAAAATACTTGATATCAGTAAAACGATCGGCATCAGCGAGATTTGTATTCAACTTGGACTAAATCAGGCTCAGAAGGAAGCTTCTATCCTGTTGGAGAACTACAAACGCTATGTGGGCGGAGCTGGAAGTTCCGAAATTGACTTCGCCCATCCGCAATATGCAGCGATGGCCGTCTATCAAGCTTGCAAGAAGCTGAAGGTAAAACCACCTAAAACCAAACTGGTTGCGTTTAGCCACTTGAAACCGACACAGTGGAGCATGCTGGAGAAGAATTGGGAAAATTTCTTGTCTAGTTTTGCTGATGTAGATGCGTCTGAGAAATCGAAGGTCAGCAAAGCGAACGAAACAGAGCCAAGGCTTATTGAAGAAACAGCGGTAGATACACGTACGATCGGATTGAAGCACAGCTCACCGGAAAAAATAGAGCCCTATGTTAACTGGAAGAAACGAATGCTTGAGAAAGCTTATCGGGAATTGAAGACTCGATAGATTTGCATCTGTTTTGTACAGTTTTATGATTTTCTTAGTGTTATTGCCATATTGCTATTCTTCTATGTTAAGTCTTAATTAGTATTAAAACATGAATTAATGATATCAATTATTGTATGTATTTTTTTTCCCTTGATTTGTTTTCCGTCGATTTTGTTTTCCGTGCTGAGCATCAATGCTACCGACGCCAGGGAGGTAGCTCCCACACCTGGACCCTACCTATCGACCCATCAACTCATGGACCGGGGACCAACGGCTTTACTTCCCTTTACTGATCAGAGATGTTATGCCGGCGGCGCCGACTGGGTTTAAACCCAGGCCTGCTGGGGTGAGAGGTAATCACGCTTACCCCTACACCACCGGCACCGCTGATTATTATATGTATTATATTAAAATTATTTCAGTCAGATGCCTTCGCTGACCTATAATCCCTCGGGTAGGCGCAAGTGTTCGTCCAGGTTCTGGTTCATTAAATTATCTCTATGCATGGATTAATTACTAATACTGGCAAACTCACCTTTTTCTATTATGAAGATTTCGCTGACAGTTTATGAAGGTTAATGATCTCTATTAGGTGTGTGCTGCGATTGCATTATATATATAGTGTGAAGGTCATGGGATGTCACTCAAGTGGAGGATTGGAGCTTATATGTAACTAGCTGAACCCTGTGCGAGCGTTGCTACGCTTGCAACTAAATGATCGAAAATTTAATAGAATAGTTATGCAGAGGAGGAGGGGTCTCGAACCTTTCCCGGCCCCAAAAACAACTGCATACAAATTTTCACGCCGATCGGTTCAGTAGTTTCCGAGTCTATAAAGCTGTGTTTAGACAGAGCAAGTCAATTGACCTAGTTGAATTCAACTGACTTGAACGCGAGTTGAACGTGTGAACCATGCCATTCAACCAATAATCAATACGAAACTAACGATTTTAAATTGGCTCACCACTTTAGTAGCCTATTGGTCCCAAGCAAACGATTAACGTACCCTATTCTAGTTGAAATTCTATTACTACACTATGTTTGTTTTGATTCGCTATGAAAGTTTGACAGATAACATCAGGGGTGCGTGGATTCATGCAGAACATGCAGGGGTGAGTGAAATAGCTTGGGACTGCTTGGGACCGTTGTTCTGGTACTGAGTGAGCCAAAAATAATAATGATTTTCTTCGGGACCCAGTGGTCTTAGAGTTACCTCAGTGTGCCATGTGGTACACTGAAAAATTGCAATAGCAGGTTAGTCAATAAAGTTTTCGAGCCGCTCCGTCTGTCACTTCGTTTGTGATTGAAACGAAGCTGTTCGAAACAAATTCGCGCAGTTTTTATGACTTTTGTTGAATGTTCACTCGGTTCATTGGAGCGTATGCGCATAGATCTGTAAATTTTATCATTGTTGGGTGGTTTGTTTACCTATAAATATGGGTATTTTTTAATCTGGGTGACTTCTAGAGATCAAAAATTGATATGCGACGCCATTTTTAAATCCAAGATGGCGGCTTCCAGTTTTAGAAAAAGTGGGAAATGCTGTCAAATAGGGTTAAATACCCCATTTCCGGCCTATTAAGCACAACCCGCACTTAATCTTTCTTAATCTAGCGCAGTTTAGCACCAAACGGAATGTTATTATTACTGATGGCTTCCAAATTTATTTACCTTTCCGTATGTATCGTTAGATTTTATAAAGAGAAACCAATCGTTGAAATATTGTCAAAAGTCTAACACTGCTTCTTGACGCCAAACTCGGCCTACGGATTCTAAACTTTGCCTAACGCATTGTAACGCCATTGAAACGCCAATGAATTCACTTCGGCCTATCGGATGAAGATAAAAATTGATTCGGTCGGAGCGCTTCTTTTGTTTTTGGGAATAATGGATGCAAACCTTCATATCACGCGTTCTCATTGACTTCGTTCCGTAGCTTATTATTTAAAGTATCGTAACAAATGCACAGTTGACTTTTTAACTCTGAAATCATGGATTTATTTGAAGTTTTCTGCTCGATAGGCCCAAAATGGGCGCTTAGGCCGAAGTAGTTCTCTACCCTACTAATCAATAAAGGTATTTTTGGAACCAAGATGATGTCTAGAGGATGAAAATCGATATCCGACACCATTTTGAAATCGAAGATGGCAGCTTCCGATTTACGAAAAAGTAGAAATACAGCCAAATACACATCAATATTGGTATTATTGTAATCTACAGATCGAAAATTGATATGCGACGCCAATTCTAAATCCAAGATGGCGGCTTCCGATTTTAGAACAAGTGGGAAATATTGTCAAATACCCATCAATATTGACGATAGACCCGTTTCAAATGTTACGTGAGTATTATTCATATGTTCATTTTTAGTAAACAGGGCCCCGCTGTTGTGTCACTTTTTGTCGAGTGAGTGAACTCAAATCCATCCGTGCACTCGTCAATAGGTATTTTTGGAATCGTGATGGCGTCTAGAGGCCGGAAATCGATATCCGACGCCATTTTTAAATCCAATATGGCGGCTTGTGTGGTAGATAGAGTTCGTGTGGAATAATAATGATTAAAAAAAATGAAAATTAAGTCATGTAATTAAACGCTTAATTTGAGTAAACCCAAGTAGCGTGAATGTGAATAAAATCTAACTATCATTGCTTTGTGAGGGAAAATCCCGGGACAGTTAGCAGCGCTGTGTAAAAGAGGGAATATTCTTTGGGTATAAATATGGGCTACCTAAGCTCACAGAAGGCAACCCGGTAAGGATCCAACATTGCCTTCAAGCTACAGACCCATCAGCCTCCTTTCAGCGCTGAGCAAATTGTTCGAGAAACTCATTCTCAATCGTTTGCTAAAGTTTGTCGAGGAAAATAACATTCTCCTTCCGGAACAGTTTGGGTTCAGAAAGGGGCACTCCACCAATGACCAGCTAGTACGGGTGATGAATAACATCCGAAGTAACAAAGCTGTATCCAAGTCCATAGCCATGGCCTTGTTAAACGTTGAAAAGGCGTTTGACAATGTTTGGCATGACGGACTTGTGTACAAGCTTTGTAACTTCAACTTCCCTTTACATCTGGTTAAAATCACCCGTAACTACCTCCAGCAAAGGTCGTTTAAGGTATCGTTGAATGGTTGTCTTTCAGACACGTTGTCCATCCCAGCAGGAGTCCCGCAAGGCAGTCTGTTGGGCCCGTTGCATTACAGCATCTACACTTCCGACATTCCTCCCCTCGGAGACGGTTGCGTGTTTTTCCTGTTCGCAGATGATACCGCAATAGCCGTCAAAGGAAGGATGCCTCGCGAAATAACGAACAAACCTCAACGATGCCTTAACGCCTTTGCTGATAATGCCACCACGTGGAAAATTAAAATTAATCCCTCCAAAACACAAGCGATCATGTTCCTTCATCGGCAATCGCCCAAACTAAAACCGGCTCCATCTTGTACTGTAATCATGGATGGCACAAGGGTTGAGTGGTCTTCCGAAGTTACCTATCTCGGGATGTTGTTCGATGAAAAGCTCCTCTTCCGTTCGCATGTAGAGAAAACTGTAATCAAGTGTTCTGCCTTGGTTAGGTGTCTGTATCCGCTGATTTGCCGCAGATCCCGCCTCTCAAAGGTGAACAAACTGGCTGTCTACAAACAAATCATAGCACCTGCGATCCTCTACTCAGCTCCGGTGTTGGAATCATGTGCACAGACTCACAGGAACAAAATTCAGGTCGCTCAGAATAGAGTGCTGAGGATGGTTGTTGATCGTCCTTTCGACACTAGAATAACAAATTTACATGAAGAGGCAGGCATTGCCAAAATAGATTCCAAAATTAACGAAATTAAGACTCAATTTGCACAAAAATGTAATTTATCAGAACATGCTTTGATAAACAATTTGTATATAGTAGGTTAGGTGTATATAGTAGTTGTAGTTGTAAATAGTAGTTATAAGTAGTTTCCTTTTTCAATTTAAAACAAACCAATCCCACCAAGTTGGTCATTCTCTAAAACAGGCCTGATAGGACTAGGAACTGTAATTAATAATTAAAATGTCAAATGTACTAAAGTTGAAAAGACGCATCTGTGTCACTTGAAAATTCATACATGTAAACCACACAAACACAAGAAATAAAGATCATTTTAAGTCAAAAGTCTCACAGAAGGCATTCTTGTGACGAACGCTGAAAGCGACGGACGAGCAGCAGCAACAGCAGCAGTAGCAGTAGCAGCAGCAGCAGGAACAGCGGCAGCAGCAGTGGAAGCATAGCAGCCGAGATTCGTGTAGCCGTGACCGATACTGGAAACCTCGGTCCGGTCACGACAGCTTCGTATTTCAGAAAAAAATGGGAGATGCTTATGCCGTCCCATCAATATGGGTATTTTTGGAATCGGGGTGACGTCTGGAGATTGGAAATCAATATCCGACGCCATTTTGAAATCCATGATGGTGGCTTTCGGTATAAAAAAAAGTTGTAAATTGTATCAAATACCCATACAAACGGTTTTTTAGAATCAGGGTAACGTGTAGAAGCCGGAAATCGATATCCGACGCCAAAAATTGATATCACGCAGTCTTTAAACCCAAGATGGCGGCTTTGGTTCAGAAAAACTGTGAAATACTGTCCAATACAGGGTTACTTCCACTCACTTGCTATAAAAAAATGTTTTTCGGAATTATGAAATCATGAAATAGTATAATGCTAATTAGTGCTTGTAAGTTACAAGAAGAGATCATGAAGTATATGTTTGACTCATAAAATCTGTCAATATTGCTTCCAGTGCGTCACAATCAGCGATTTTACGACTCGTGAGCGCTCACTCTGAGTGAACGCTCATGAATCATAAGATCGCTGATTGTGACGCTCTGAAAGCGGAATTGACAGGTTTTATCAGTCAAACACATACTTTACACCCTCTTCTTGTTACTTACAAGTACAACATATCATTATAACATCTAATGATTGCATAATTCCGAAAAATATTTTTTTATAGCAAGTGAGTGGAAGCAACCCTGGTCCAATACCGATCAATGTGGGATTTTTTGGAATCGGGCTGACATCTAGAAGCCAGAAATAGATGTGCGACGCCATCTTGAAATTCAAGATGGTAGCTTCCAACTTTAGAAGAACCACAGACAAACAGACGTAACTCTTCATTGTGTATCTTCGTTCACGCATTTAACGGTTGATTTGAATATTATCAGTTCCGTGAACTACTCGCCTCAGCGCTGGCATCGGATCACTTTGACGTTTCTATACATTCTATAGAACTTTTATGCAATATTGTTTGCAAGTTAGCGAGTAAGCTTGTTTTCCGCGAGAAGCCCGAGAGATGTCGTTACTGAGGTCCTATGTTTTGAGATACTATGTTTACAAGAAATTTTTTTTCAAAGAGCTACGTCTGTTTTTCTGTGGAAGAACTGTCAAATAACCCACAAATGGCATCATATATCGATTTTCAGCATCTACGCGTGGTCTCCGTTCCGAAAATACCCAGATCTTAGGGTATTTGACGCTTTTTGTGAAACCCGATGACCGCCACATTGGATTCCAAAGTGGTATCTGATATCGATTTTCGGCATTTACGCGTTGTCCCTGTTCTAAAAATAACCATATTGTAGGGTATTTGACAACTTTTCTGAAACCCTATGACCGCCATATTGGAGTCCAACATAGCATCGAATATCGATTTTCGGCATCTACGCGTCGCCTCCGTTCCGAAAATACCCATATTGTAGGATATTTGACACTTTATGAATCCTGATGGCCGCCATATTGGATTCCAACATATCGTCGGTAATCGATTTTTGCCATCTACGTGGCATCCCCGTTCCAAAAATACCCTATTGTAGGGTATTTGACACTTTTCTGAAACCCGATGGCCGCCATTTTGGATTCCAAAATAACATCAAATATCGATTTTCCGCACCTCCGTGTAGTCCGCGTTCCGAAAATACCCATATTGTGGGGGTTTTTGAGACTTTCCCTGACCCCGATGGCCACCATCTTGGAGTCCATAATGGCCTCGTTAATTTAGTTTTCGTTTAATATAAAATAATATATTTTTACTACATATAATCTGGATGCCATCCATATCGGCAACCTATATTGTGCGGAAACTATCTGGATACTATATTTTGATGCCTGCGTCGTCGTGACAAGTCGAATAAGCCCCGAATTGAAGTGAAAGTGGAAAAAAACGAAGGAAGCAGTTTTCGACAATTTGAGATGCTCAAAACATCTCACACTAGCGAATCAATCTTTGAAAAATCTTCCTGCATTTCTCGCATCTACTTGCATCGAGCATCATCTTTTTGCAGGAAATCTTCAGAATCGTCATCAATCTTCTTTCTATCTACACAGCGTGTGAGCAGCTAGCCACAGCAGAACACAATCTTTCCTGCAGCGTAGATAGAGTCGTCCCCCTCGGTTTTCGAGTCATTTATTGCGTCAATTGAAACAAGTCTTTGCTTCAAATGACGACGATAGTCCAGTCATGTTTGATAAGAGGAATTTTCATCGTGACTCGATAACAAGAAACACGATGACCTACGCGAAAATGATATTGCTCGAAATTAACCGATTCTGCGGAGAGTTCATTTTCTTATCTTTGTTTCGTAAATGCAGGACCCTGGTATGGACCACTCGTCTGTCAATGCTTAGGAAAATGAAATGGATAAAGGCGTGTAAGAGCTAACACATGTTAGACAAAGATCTTTCATAAGTCGCGCTTATGAAATTCATATGTGTCTTTCATAACTCTTAAGTTAATCTGCTTCAGTGTAGAAGATTCCAATTCAAGAAGTGTAGTATTTTGTATTAGCTTCAATCAATTCATAGATTCAATTTGGTTTTGTGCTAAACATAGATTGGATGGTTCTTACGGATTGGTTATGAATGGTATGTGATATAGTGCATTAACAACAAACTGTTTAGCTTCACTAATTTAATCGGGATTTAAAGCTCACTGCAATTGAATGCTTCTTATTTTTTACTAGCTGATGTTGTTTTCCAGTATTGGTTTATTATGTGTATGCGTTGTAGTTTGACCACAATTTTTTATCGGTGTGTTGTAATCTGCTATGGACAAAACTCTGCAAAATCTAGTTATAGGTATATGCTAACACTGCTCTGGATTGTAGTTTTTTCTGGTGTGTGTGTGTGTGTTGTCGCTAAATTGTTTTATAAATGGGCTTGGGATACGATTTTTGGGGAGTGTCACTAGTGCCGAATCGTTGTTCCAGATTTGTTATTCGCTATTGTAGTGTGTTTGATCTTCACGTTTGAATTTCTATTTTCGTAATTTAGAGAAGGAACTATGATGACAATGGAATTAGCAGTGGTTATTCTAAAACTTGAAAGAATGTATTGATGCTTCATCGAAAGTCGTACGTTAATTGTTCGCAAATGTTTGGTTTTTTTTATAAAGTCATTTCTCTGTAATTTCAAAATATGCCGAATCGCATTGCACTATATGTGTATGTTTTCTGTATCGTTTCGATAAAAGTTATAAAATTATAACAAGTGTACTAATGTAGTTGTCATATATTTTATAATCGACACATCATTTTATTTAACTTCACTTTGATCTGTAAGGTGAATGGTTTCCATGTTAATTTCCTTGTAGTTTAATATTTCAATTTATGGATGCAATCTAGTGTAGTTTTATTTTTTATTCAAATTTGTTTACTGGTGCAAATGCAAGTTGCCATCCTACTTGTCGTCCGGCTTGGCGTCGGGGACCTCCCTGCGAACCTTGTGGCCACGGAACGAGGCCTGTATTTTGCTAGCCGCCTTGTGCAGCTCCGGATCGTCCATATCAATATCGAGTTCTTCGGCAACCTTTAAACAAGTGAAAAACTCAATACCATGACTGTGGAAAAAAATGATCAAGCAAGCTACATCGCTTAGGAATGCTTATGTTATGCGAAAGGTTACCCTTACGGTTTAGGTTGCTTGATGTTGGAGGTTTGGATTTTATTATACCTTTTTGGTCAATTCATCAATATCGACATCCTTCTTGTCATCTTCCTCGTCCTCCTTTTTGCCGCCTTCTTTCCGGGACATGTGCCCCCTGAAGCATGCCTGGATCCTAGTGGCGGCATGGGTTAGCTCTGCAAAAAAAGAACAATGTTTACCGTTAGTAAAATAATAGATGGTTATGCTTGCAATACGAAAGTCACTTTTTGGGTATAAATATGTATAACGAAACAATTATTTTAAATTCGCGTACAATCTAAATGCACTATTTCACGGAAATAAACATGCATTATCATTTAAACTAACGCTAAATCCAGCAATAAATCACAGAAATTTCTATGAAATTTCCGAACGGTGTCGAGTGAAGAAGATAAAATTGAAATGGCTCTACAGCAATTAAGCGTTTATTTTCTGTTGTATAATCAGCGTGAATCTGCTGCTGCAGCCTTTGTTGGATGAAAAAAAAAATCTTTCATGTGGTTAAATACTGGCTGTCACTACATAAATGTTCATGTCAGAGTCAGCAATGTATGCATATGCACTTGTTGTCGCCCGCAATCTACTTCATTTGGCTTTTTGCTCTCGTAGTGGATCGGGTTCGGTATATTGGCTTGGCTAAAAAATTTATAGCACTCCGTGAGCGAAAAAAAATCCATGCAAGTTGCAAGTGGGCCGGATAGGGGACAACGGGGTAAGACGGCTCACCCTAAGCTTAAAGTAGAATTTTAGTGAATCTTTAAAGTACTTCTCCTAATTACATTGATATTAAATAAATTTCCTATTCATTTGATGATGTTTTATTACGATCCAAAAAAAGCCATGAGGAGTAAGATTGGATACAACGGATTGTTGCGTAAGACGGTCACTTTCAATATCACATGATCCTGACCTTATAGAAGGTTACTGTCTTGGGCAAAGTCTTCGGAAAAGTAGTTCAGCTGACCAGCTAACAGGTTGGCTTAGGATTCTTGTGTGCATGTGGACTTCACGTTGATGTCCTGATCATCTGAGAAGTTGTACAAGGCTGAACATATCTTCAATAAAAAGATTTAAGAACTAACCTTGGATAAGAAACAGATTAGTTTAGAATTTTCTCACTATACAGCGCTTGAATGCCCAACTATTTATAAATTACATAACAGAGAACGGTACGAGATGTCCACGTTTCATCGATTTATTGGATTATATAGCATCGTGTTTAAATATTAAATCTTAGATCTGAATCATCTTGCCCCTTAAATGCCGCACAGTGGCCCTGATCGTTTTTTTTTATAAATCTTTGATGTGTATCATATATCAAATAACAAAGAAAGATGATGGAGGTATATCCATCATTTTCCAGGATGCTTTCAAGAACTGGCTGTGTTGGTGTTAGATTAGATTAGATCTCACTATACGGCGCTTGTATGTGTATCATCAGGAAAACCATATACTGAAAGTTCGCACCAGTTCCAGTTTGCCGAAAATAGCAGCTTCCAAGATGGTCAGGATATCAAGATGTAGCTTATAGGTACACGGGAAGTTCACATTCCAAATTTATCTGTTCTTTATCACCATTTGGAAGACCTTGATCACTTACCAACATTGCCGGAAACATAAACTGCGTAGAACAGCAGAATCTAGTTTCAATTCCAGATCCTCCAGAAGATCTCCCGAGACCCCCGTATTCCGAATTCATTCTGATAACAAATCTTCAAATATTTTCGAAACAACATGTTGTATTTCAGAAACTAGATATTGTCATTTACTGCGTTCAGTTCCAACCCTGAGGTACACCGTGGACCCCCGTACACGGGGTTCATTTGTAATATGAACTTCTATTAACCCTACGAGCATCACAAAAGCTTGTTCTGGTTGCTTTATTTGCTGTTTTGTTTGTATTCGAGGTTCTGTTTTGCATCGTTCCATTTCGCTTTACTCCATTCCAAGTGCGAAGTGACATTTGAGCAATTTATAGTTTGAACGGCGTGCAAATTAACGGGGTTCAAATTAAAAAGTCAGTGTTCACTCGGCTGTCGACAAAAGCAGGCCACTCTCGATGTGTGCTACGCGATCGTCTGTTTTCTCGGCAGCAACCATTGTGTGATCCTCCTCATTGTTCTTCATCAGCAGTTCTTTCGGTCGATGCGTCGTCGATTTTGGAAAGCAACCGTTTCGTGATGAGTGTGTGAGTGCTGACCACGTTTTGCGTCCATTGTTGCAATGGACGCGCTCTGACCCTCGTTGGCGTACAACAATTTGCCATACAATGAAACTACTGGAAGCGGCTCCAGTTTTGATGGAGGAGGCTTTTTGGATAGCGGAAGATAAAGTGTTTATTGTGTTGTACCTTTTGACTATAGTTTTAAGATGTATTGTAAAGTGACCAAGAATCCTCGGCTCTGTAAAGTTAATTCGGTTGAGCCTTATCAAATAAATTAATAAACAACAAATTAAAAAGTGTTCAAACTAAAAACTGTCAGATTACCGGGGGACCACGGTATCATATCCCATCCAAAAGTGGTCGTCTTACCTCGATACAAGTCAAACTTACAGCTTCTGTAATACCTCAACATTTAAAGAAAACTTTATATTTGGACGTCTTACCCCATCGTCCTCTACAGCAGTGGTATATGACTCTTTATAAAATTTAGGCCGGAACGAATACAACGTCATCATTAATTATTCTTTTAATTGGGCCAGTATGTGCGAAGTTTGTTTTAATAGCTTTATTGGGCACAACTGTCTTTTTTTTGTGTAGGTGTTGATTGAAAATGTGCTATATGTATTTGAATGACTGCGACAATTTCGAATCTTTTATCAATAGTACCCAACATTGACGCATTTCTTTGAAGAATATATATTTTCATGATCATTATAATTAACCTAAATTCACACAGCCACATGATTCATCAGGTTTTCTCCTGTTTTTCTTCTTCGTTATAAAATGATAAATACCTACCTCATACATCCGGATTTTCATAGACAAATTTGGTTTTATCCAGATTTTTATAATAATCATTCAATCAATAATCAATAATATAATTATCAATTATTGATTCCCACCTCCCACGACATGTTTTCGTTTGAGATTAGAACTTCCTTAAAAAACACCTAGCCCCTGAACACCATTCTTTTTTTTTTTTTTTTTTCCTTTGGTTTGTTTTTTCCGTCGATCTTGTTTTCCGTGCTGAGCACCAATGCTACCGACGTGCCAGGAAGACAGCTCCCACACCTGGACCCTACCTATCGACCCATCAACTCATGAACCGGGGACCAACGGCTTTACTTCCCATCCGAAGGAAGGCGTGATCAGAGATGTTATGCCTCAGAACATCCCGGCGGCGCCGACTGGGATTGAACCCAGGCCTGCTGGAGTGAGAGGTAATCACGCTTACCACTACACCACCGGCGCCGTTAAACACCATTCTGATTATACTGATTTTTCTTCTTCTTCTTCTTCTTTACTTTATTTAACGTCGGTCTCTGTTCCGCAATCTAGTGCTAATCACCGCGACGGACATCGATTGCCATCCATTGACGGCAATCGAATGTGCAGGAAGGCAGCTTCCACACCTGCGTAGGATATCGGACACATGGGCCGGGACCAACGGCTTTACTTCCCTTCCGAAGGAAGACGTGACCAGAGATTTTTATGCCTCAGAAAAATCCCACCGATCTCGGCTGGGATTGAACCCAGACCCATTGGGGTGAGAAAGCAGTCACGCTTACCACTACACCACCGGTGCCGGCTGTATACTGATTGTTTTTTTGACGTAGGACTACGTCTTTGATTTCTATATGGGGGTACACTTTGTGAAAACCGAAAATGGAATATGTAACAAATTAAGAAAGATTTTGAATTTTAATAACTCAGCTGCCCCTGGTCCAAGTTCAATAATTTTACCACCAATCGATCAGAAATATGGGTACGCATTGATAACAATGCTGAATGTTGATTTTTAACAAGAAACTATTGAAAAACTGGTAAATGTCCAGCATTGTCCTAAAACGTCGAATTAACTAACAAATCCACCAATTACCTACATGCATATGCTGCTTCCCCAGCACAGTCGTCAAAGAGTAGTAGGTAGACGAAACAAGTCGAAGTGGCATTCGCCTCCGATCCTCGGGCGCGTACGAATAGGGAGGATGGAATTGCGTAATATTTTGCACACTCATCGCCATACTCAGAACTAAAGAGCCTGAATTTATAAAGAGACGACATCTTATCCATTTGACAGGTCTTCTGCTCGATTGGAATGACTTTTCCTATGACTTTGACAGACAATCGATTGTTCCAATTTTGAAATGTCGCCTCTTTATAAATTTAGGCTCTTTACTCAGAACCACACGCTCCCAACGACCACACAACTGTGTGGTGGTGTTCGGTCGTCGAAATTAGTAGCAGCAGTAGCAGTGCTTTCGGCGTGTGGCGTTGAAAATTGTTCTCCAGTAAAGTAACAATGAAAGGCTGCCTGCAAGCAGCGAGCTGCAGAGGCCACATAAGCAACCATCAAAGGAGGAAGAAGCTGCACCGCTATGCTATGGATCGGAATCAGTAGCTCTTAGTGAGTCGCTGCGGGTCGGTCATATATGACCAATTCCACGCCAAATCGGTCAGTCACCAAACTTGACTATCTTCGATCTGAATGATACTTGGCACATATTTTCAGTATGATAGACCAAGTATTTTCCGCAGGAGAGGAGACCCTTTTGACTCAAGGGTAATTTTTGAAAAGGGCCTATGTGTTTTTGCACACATACTTTAAAAAAAAAATGTAGTTCGAAAACAGTTGGTTGTAGAAAAAAATTACTAAGAAGGAGTTGTAGGAAACTAATAAGGCTTTATAAAAAAAAATATACACGGAATTTTTTTTTGGTTTTTTTACAAAAAAAAAAATTAAAAATAAACCTCAAAATTCAAATAACAAAAAAAAACGTATTTTTGATTTTTTTTTATATTTTTTTTAATAAAAACTTGAATAGAAAGCAGAAGTTTTGAAAACAACTCCAGGATGGACAAACTTTTAATAAAAAAGTTTTTCTAAGAGCAACTTTTAAGGCATTTTTGAAACTTTCATTATTTACGGCAAAATGTTCAGTCTGATGTCAGTATATGAATATAAAAATCATTTCAAACGATAGTGCTCAT